CTCTGTCTCTTTCTGTGACATATCTATATCACACATATTAAGTAGTTTGGACAGTAAAAAAATATGTACACATTATAGAACATGCAGAGAGCCCATATGCCAAGGATTGTTTATCATGTTGGCAGTGTTTTCCAGCTGTATAAAACATGCTTAGATTTGCAGAGTTGGGAAGGATTTGTAAGGATAATGGGTTCTAGTGGCCTTTAAGCCGTGGTCCTCCATCCAGGGTCCTTTGGGCACCCATCTGGAGGGCCCCACTGGATGGGGTGGGTGGGAAGCCCATCTTGCTTCACACTGAATAGCTATTTTCACCTCCTTTACTCATGAGACATTACTGGTTTATAAAGAACCTTCCCTCCAGCTGAAAAAAAAAAAGTCTGCAAATTACTGATGGAATCCCAACTATGCATGCAATTTCTGAGCACCTTCTGCAGACATACTAACAAGAAATGCAGGTAAACATAGGTCTATGTGGTTCTCGAGGCTGGAATCCTAATTTGTAACTACAGTAAAGTGTTTTTAAGTAACTGTCATGAGTGGAGCCATGTACATTGAAGACTTAACCTTGTAATTGAAATTAGAATTCTCTGAACACATCCTCTACTCCCAGGGGACACAGGGAACACATTTCTCATTGGGTATGAAATCCAGTGTCCAAAGAACTAGTGAAAGTCTTTGGAAAGTGGTAATTGTGGGTTTGTATGTTGTGACAGCAGGTGGAACTAGGAGTGGGAACTCTATTTGTAGGCCATTTATAGAGCAGGAAGATGTGTGCAACTTATACTGATGTGTTTGTGTGGCAGAGCTTTGAGGATAGCAAGTTATTACATATTGACTTTGGAAAGCGATTGTATTACTACAACATGAGAGCCAAGCTGAATGAAAACTTCTCACAACCTGGGCAACACAGCAAGTCTCCATCACTAAAAATAAAAATAAAAATTAACTGAGCATGGTGGCACATGCCTGTAGTCCCAGCTACTCCAGAGACTGAGGTGGGAGGACTGCTCGAACATAGGAGGCTGAAGCCACTGTGAGCTGTGATCATGCCACTGCTCTACAGCCTGGATAACAGAGTAAGACACCATCTCTAAAAACAAACAAATGACAAAAGAAACCACATTCTGAAAATGAGAAATAACATCTTCCTATTTGTTATTATTTATTCATTGAAGTAACTTATTCAGTAGAATGTAATAAATGCCTACCCCATGGTAGGCGTCATGTGAAACATTGGGGATAAAACTTGAAACCTGTGCATTACTTTTCTTTACCATGTCTTAGACAGACAGGCGACCACATGGTGACCGTAGATCCTAATAGACTGTGATTGTGTTACGGACAGAGGGCTGTCAGGTCAGAAAAGCGATCAGCTGGGAGAAGTCAGAGGAGGAGGGTTGCCTGAGCTGCATTGGGAAGGAGGTAAAAAAATTCAGTAGGAGAAAAGCAGGAGACTACACATCGTTCCAGGCAAGATGTTTTACACACGCAAAGGTATGGGGTGCATAGGGACCTGTTGTCTTGGGAGACCACCAGGAGGCTGGGCAGGGAGGATGGAGAGGGAGGTGAGTTTCTGAAGGGCCTTGCAGGACATGCCATCTTAGTGGATATACTCTTTGAGAATTCCAGCCAGTCTAGATGCAGTTTAATTGATTAGCTTCTGGCGTTCATAAAACCGGAGTTATGGCTGTGGTCTTATGGGAATGTGGTGGATTAGCTGATTAGTGATGGCTGAGGCTGGGTAATTTATAAAGAAAAGAGGTTTATTGGGTTCACAGTTCAGCATGGCGCGGGCATCTGTTAGCCCTCTGGTGAGGCCTCAGGAAGCTTTTGACTTGTAGTAGAAGGCAAGAGGAGCTGGCAGGCGCAGGCACGTCACATGGTGAGAGCAGAAGTGGGAGAGGAGGTGCCAGGCTCTTCTAAACAAGCAGCTCTTTTTTTTTTGACTCAGGCTCACTTTGTTGCACAGACTGGAATCTAGTGGCACAATCATGGCGCATTGCAGCCTCAACCTCCTGGGCTCAGGCTGTCCTCCCTCCTCAGCTTCCTGAGTAGTTGGGACTACAGGAGTACACCACCATGCCTGGCTAATTTTTAAAATTTTCTAGATAGATGAGGTCAGGCTGGTCTTGAACTTCTAAGCTCAAGTGATCTTCCCACGTCAGCCTCCCAAAATGCTGGGATTGCAGGCGTGAGCCACCACCTGGCCAGCTACCAGCTCTAGGGGGAACTAATAGAGAACTCACTTATTACCATGAGAATGGCACCAAGGTATTCCTGAGGGATCCACCTCCATGACCCAAGCGCCTCCCAACAGGCCCCACTTCCAACACTGGGGATTCCATTTCAGCATGTGTTGAGGGAACAAACTTCTATACTGTTTCACATGTCATGGCTAGATGTCACTTCTAACCCCAGATAGCAGTTTTAGGTACGCTGTCAGGTCTCAGGGGTGATTAGATGAGAACAGAGTGCGTCAGTACTCATCCTTAACCGCTATAGAGAACATGCTAATTTAATACCAGCCTTGTTCATGGGTACCTACCCAGTACTGCAGGATGCTGGGAGACGGGCCATGGTGGAGCAGCCTCTGCCTCTGGGTCCTCTGAAGCACTGAGCAGCTCACTCTCCTACCTACCAACTGTATCACATCCCTTCTGGGTCTCCCCCAGGCTTTCTCCTCTCGCTAAATGACTCCTCAGACCACTGAGCACTCAAGCTGGAATTCGTTGCTTGTTCTTGACAGTGCCTCCCTCCCCACCTTCCTCATCTGACTCTTCATCAAGCGATGTCATTTCAATCTAAAATACATCTGGCCGGCTGCGGTGGCTCACTCCTGTACCCGTGAACAAGGCTGGTATTAAATTAGCATGTTCTCTATAGCAGTTAAGGATGGGTACTGATGCACTCCGTTCTCATCTAATCACCCCTGAGACCCAAGAACTTTGGGAGGTGGAGGTGAGAGGATTGCCTGAGCCCAGGGGTTCAAGACCAGCCCGAGCAACTTGGCAAGACCTCATCTCTACAATTAAAAAAAAAATGAGCTAGGCATGGTGGCGCATTCCTGTATTTCCGGCTACTTGGGAGTCCAAGGCAGGAAAATTGCCTGAGCCCAGGAAGTTGAGGCTGTAGTGAGTCGTGATCATGCTATTGCATTGCAGCCTGGATGACAGAGTGAGACTCTGATTCGAAAAATAAAATAAAATAAAAATACGTCTGGAACCTTCCACACCTGCCACCAGCATCCTAGCAACCATATCTCTTGCTCCCTTTTTTCATTTTTGCTTCCCCCCAAACCTTTTATTTTTAAAGATAATAGATCTTTAAAAAATCTAAATCATTTTGCTTCCCAGTTCAGACCTGCTGCTGACTTCCTGTTGCTGTTGCTACTTCACGAAACCCATGTTACTGACTGTGGCACCCAGTGGCCTATGGTCTGGCCCTGCCCCCTTCCTGTCCCAGCCTTGTATCGCCCTCTCCCTCCTGCTCGCTAGGTTCCAGCCACGATGGCCTCTTTCCTGCCTGCTTTTCACATACTGTCTCCATACCTGGGAAACTCTTCTTCCATCCTTTAGCTGGTATTGTCTCATGGGCGAGGTCTTAGCTTCAATATCTCTTCCTCCAAGAGATCACTCCTTCACCGGATTTCTAGGCCTTGGTTACAGTGTCCCATCTTTCTCTTCCATTGTCCCTGCCACAGTTTGCACTTGTGTGTGTATGTTTGCAGTTGAACTTGTGCAATGGCTGTATTCCCCTAGATAAGTAGCTCCCTTAGGGCTTGGAATCGTATGTTCTCCTCCCCTGTTTCCAGGGCATGATAAGTGCCTGACCCACAGCAGGTCCTAAAAAGTTGTCAGCCATTTAAAGATCAGGCATGGTGGCTTACACCCGTCATCCCAGCACTTTGGGAGGCAGAGGCAGGATTACTTGACTGGGAGTTTGAGACCAGCCTGGGCAGCATAGTGAGACCTCGTCTCTAAACACACACACACACACACACACACACACACACACACACACATTCATTTATATTTAAAAACGGGTAGATTTTTTTTTGTTTATAAATCTTTAACTGCAAATAAGAAATACGTGGGAAATTAAGAACATTATTTCCACATTTTTTAAATGATAGGAACTGTTTTAGAAAAGGTATACAGCTCAGTATTACCTCATCAAAAGCAAAAGTGTGAATGTGGTTATTGTATGATTTGGGGCTATTTTTAAAACAAAGTGATAATTTTTTTTTGAATGGAAATCCTGAGTTATAAAACGAACTGCTCTTTGTATATATTTAGGACTCAGTTCACGAAAGTGTTTAAATTCTTGGCTTCGCTCTTTAAACCTACTACAAAGATCACATTAGAATTCATTTTATCAACGCGGTAAGCACAGTATCCCATCTTACGTTGTCATGCTGGGCTCTTTTATTACGAGAGTAGCAGGAAGCTGAGCCTGGGGCTGCCAACACATTGCGGGTGTATCCAGGGCTAGGGATGGCGCCAGCCCTGTTGTTTATGTGATATTCTCTCCGCCCCTGTCTGTGGGGCGCAATGGGTATTGACTTTTGAGAAACTACTTCTCTGACCCAATCTCCCAGTTGGAAAAAACCCCCGCTATCATGACATCTGGCGAGGAAAAGGGGATGAAAGAAGCATAAGGAAAAACAAATGATGAGACCTCCTTTAGTCGTCCTTCCATGCCTATGGGAACCTGTTAGAGAGAAGACAACTAAACCCTGTCAAGGTCACCCTCCCTTATCTCCGAAAAAGCCCAATGAACCCTAAAAGTGTCTTGTTTACACTGTCGATTGCTGGTGCTGGGTCCATTTGGCATTTAGCAAAACGTCTTTTGGACTTTATGGGTCTTTAGGAGTAAATGCTGTTCATCAAAATTAAGATACAGTGTTATTATTTGTGGTATGTTTCATACTCATTTCTGTTTCTTTTTTCTTTTTTTAAGACATTCATCTCTTTGGTAAATTTTTTTCCCCTAACTTTTAGGTATATTACTTGATGAGTTTTTAAATATTATAAGGAAAAAGAAGGAAGCCCAACCATTCCGGAATGAAATAAGACACATCTTCACAGCTTTTGACATGCACTGTAAGTGTCTTTAAAGTGTCAAAAATGCTTTTGATATATAAAAGTTGCTATTAAGGACCTGTGAATGGGAACATATATACTCAGTGCATGAAATATACAGTATATTTTACTGCATTTATTAGCTATTACCTTGGTTCCTGGCGTGATTTTTTTTCTTTTGTGATCTTAAATTCTTGATATTTATCATGAATTAAATATTACTTACAGTTACAAAATTGTGCTTATGAATTGTACCTATGTACTTTTTGTTTCTCTTTTTGAGGTGGGATCTCACTCTGTCACCCAGATTGGAGTGCAGTGGCATGATCAAGGCTCATCACAGCCTCGACTTCCTGGGTTTCCATCTCAGCCTCCTGAGTAGCTGGGACTACAGGTGCAAGCCACCACACCTGGCTAATTTTTTTTTTTTTTTGGATTTATTGTGGAGACAAGGTCTCACTATGTTACCCGGGGTGGTTTCGACCTCCTGGGCTCAAGTGATCCTCCCGCCTTGGCCTCCCAAAGTGCTGGGATGACAGATGTATATATCATGCCTTTATTATAATGGGGACAGTGAAAGGACTGGTCATGTAGGGCTATAGGCCATAGCCACCTGTGGAAGTGTGGGAGACTGCATAGTTTCTTCTTCACCTCCCACTTTGACCCACTCACGATAGAGGAATTGTTTTCCCACATGGGGTGTGGCTGGGCAGATTACCACAGAACCCCTAAACTCTGCAGATCTCAGGATGAAAAGATTCGTGAAGTCAAGATCCAGCATCTTGGATGTTGTTTTGGTTTCCTTCTAAATATTAATATATCATCATTCTAATAGCAAGCAAGAGAAAAAGTGAATTTTGAGTACTGAATTATTTGGCAACTCACCAAGATGCAGAGCCTAAAGCCATTACTAGAGCATGTGTCTCTGCATATTCCTTTCCTTGACCTTAGAGAATCAGCACAATGGCTGGGCTGGAAGTACCCTTCGAAATCAGCTGGGCTTCCCTGAAGGAAACTATTGCTAGATTCTTCAGTTCCTCCTGTGTGACAATCTCCAATGGCCTAATATGCAAAACCAGCTCTGAATGCTTTTCTCCTAACAACATATTAAAGTTTCACACAAATATTATAGCTGAAATACCAGTTTGTAGGGTTTATGAAAGTAAGTGAATGTTTTATCATTTGTTTTCAAATAGATCGTGGATTTTTAACTTTGGAAGATTTCCAAAAAGCATTTAGGCAGGTGGCTCCCAGATTACCAGAGCGGACCGTTCTTGAGGTGTTCAGGTAAGGCATTGCTGTCTTTACGCACACCCACCTTTTGATGGACCCTTGGCTTTGGCAGGGTCTTGGTTTTGTGAAGAACACTTGCTTATGTGGATTTTTCACCTGGGAATATTTTTATCTCTCAACATAGTGGCATGATCCAGGAGAGAAATCAGTAGTTAGTAGAGTCCATCTACATCTGTGACAGCAGGCTCTGAAGTGGATGGGGTGTGTGCAAGTCAGACAGATGCACAGACCCTCAGTAGTGGTGTTCTGTGGGTCCTTGGCTCACCGCTTGCACCTAGGCAGGTGCACAGAACCCTCAGTAGTGGTGCTGGGTGACTGGGCGCAGTTGTTCCATGGGTCCTTGGTTCGCCACAGAAAGGAATTTCAGAGCAAGTTGCAGAGAGGTTTAAAGTACAGTGTATTAGAGGCAAAAGAAAAAGAAACAACACGATCAAGAGAGAACATGGGTCCTTGAGGGAAAGATCACACGCTTGTTGTTAACAGAAAGCTTTATATAGTCTCCAAATTGACGGTTTAGCGTCCTGTTTCTAAGCTAAGCTTTGGTCACACTTAGCCAGGCGTGGTTTTAGTTCTTAATGTTTTACTCCTAAGTTTGCTTGTGTTAGGAGGAACTTTCGCGATAATAGGGAAGTTACTATTACTTAGTTTTCTCTTAGAGCCCTATGCCTCAGTGTCCCTGGTGACTCCCTACTGTCTTGTTTTGGTCTTTGTAGCCAGCCTCCCCCTATTTCAAGGTTGGGCCTGGGTTTCAGTCAGTGTGTAGTTGTTTAAAAGAGTTATGTCCTGATAAGACAGTGCCTGGATGCCTGACCCTCTGACTTCCTAATGACCTAAGCTTGCCTATAAGAGACTCACCATTGTTATCTAAGCTATACTTGCTGTCTTGCCTCAGGAGGGGTAGGAGAGGACCAGGAGAAAGGCAAAGCTTCCTCAGATGCTTGTGTGTCAACCAAGAACAAATGAAGTGTTATTAGTATTCAGCATGGATGCAGGGTCCATATTTCAGACAGACGGGGGTTACACGTGGCTCTCGAGACAGCCACAGGTCAGGGCTGTCCACTGGCAGCCCCTCATCCACTCACTTTCAGAGCTATCGACCCATGTTGTCATTCACACATATCTGGTAAGTGGATTCAAAGGTTATGGGACGTGGCCCATGTGAACTAATCCTGACAACATGGACAAGCGACTTAAAAGCAGCATCTGTTAGGAAGCTGCCAACTAGAGGTGGTAACAGTGTGAGCATGTGCTGGAGTGAGGACACAGCGGAGCTGTCTCCCCTGACTCCTAGCACAAGCCCTTCCTCAGCCATGGCCAAGTGTGTTCATTCAGCCCAGCACACCAGCAGGAGCCAGAAAACCCAAAAGAACAGAACCTCAGAGAAGACAGAAATGCATTTTTGTCTCACATCAGCATCGGCAAACCAGGGCTGGAGGATGACAACATGGCCAGGAAGGTTCCAGACTCCCCTTTTGTGTCACTCTGTGTCCACACCTGCCTTCCTCCTGCTGCAAGGTGGTCATTTGAGTTGCAGGGTCGGATCTGAATTCTAGCTACTCAGGAGGAAAAGGAGGCAGAAGCTATGCCCCTCCTTTTAAGGCTATGTGTTGTTATTCCTACTTGTGTCCCAGTGGCCAAAACTTAGTTCCAAGGACACACATAGCTGTGAGGGGGAGGAGGGCTTGGAAAATGCTATCTTTGCTCCAGGCGGTCATATGCCCACTAATTGAGGTTCTGACACTGAGGAAGAAGGAAAGAGATGGATATTGGGGGACATCTGTCAGATGATCCCCTTTGGGATGAAAGTAATTGAGTAAAATATGACCAGAAGTCTGTTCCATGCCATAGAAATTATCAAGCATGTTGTGTGAGTAAAGATTTGTGCTCATCATTGTGAGCAGAGAGTCATGTATGAAATGTACTTGCTGCACCCTTCGTGAGCCAGATACTGAGTGAGCTATTGGGGAAGAGCAAAGAAGGTAAAGCCAGCATGCAAAGTGCTACAGGACAGTATCACTCCACTGCTTCTGTACAACAAATCCTTGAAAGTACAGTACATCTTTGGACTGGGCATGGTGTCGCATACCTGTAATCCCAGCACTTTGGGAGGCAGAGGCAAGAGGATTACCTGAGCCTAAGGGTTCAAGACTGGCCTGGGCAACATGATGACACCTCGTCTCTATAACAATTAAATATGGCTGGGTGTGGTGGCTCAAGCCTATAATCCCAGCACTTTGGGAGGCCAAGGCGAGAGAATTGCCTGAGCCCACAGGTTCGAGACCAGCCTGGGCAACATGGTGAGACTTCGTCTTTACAATAAATCAAAAATTTAACAGTGCACGCCTGTAGTTCTGGCTACTTGGAAGGCTGAGGCAGAAGGATTGCATGAGCCCAGCAGGTCGAGGCTGTGGTGGCCAGGAGTGTGCCATTGCACTCCAGCCTGGACGACAGAGTGAGACTCTAACATAAGCAGATAGATAGATAGATAGATAGATAGATAGATAGATAGATAGATAGAGAGATAGATAGAGAGAGAGAGAGAGAGATAGAGAGATAGATAGAGAGATAGAGAGATAGAGAGATAGATAGAGAGATAGATAGAGAGATAGATAGATAGATAGATAGATAGATAGATAGATAGATAGATAGATAGATAGATAGATAGATAGATGGTCAGGAGTGTGCCACTGCACTCCAGCCTGGACGACAGAGTGAGACTCTAACATACATAGATAGATAGATAGATAGATAGATAGATAGATAGAGACGACAGAGTGAGACTCTAACATAAATAGATAGATAGACAGACAGATAGATAGATAGATAAATAAATAAAATAAAATTAGCTGGGTGTGATGGTGCATGCCTATAGTCCCAGCTACTTGGGAGAAGGAAGAATCACCTGAACCCAGCAGGTCGAGGCTTCAGTGAGCCATGATGGTGCCACTGTACTCCAGCCTGGGCATCACAGTGAGACTTTGACTAAAAAAAAAAAATACATCTTTGTATGTACTTTGTGATGAGATCAGTAATGAATATCAATATATTTCTACCATACTGAGTTTGTTTTTAGCAAAGCAACTATACATAGTTGCTCATTTTCCTTTTATAAAAAGATAAGTTGTCCAAATTTGCTGACCTTTGTGTGCTCAATGGTTTTAGTAAATGCTACTCTGTAGAGATTTTTGAGAAATAGACTTAAACACAGCCCTTCAAGATACAAGCCATGTTTTAACAATGTGTGTGAAAGGAACTGCTTCTTGGAAGGCACCAATCCTTCAAGGAGAACAGTTTTGAAACTGGATATTTGGTTTTATTTTTTAAAAATGATGTGTGACACCTGTTAAAACTTGTCACACCTGCACGTTTGATGAGTTGAATATGGAATTTTGTAACCTGACTAGACATATCTAATGAAGTTGCAGTGGTTTTAAGACACAATTTTAAAAGATATATGAATTTAATAGTTTTAATGTGTTTTCAGGAACAACTCATTGATATCAGGTAAAATGAACTAGCTGAATTTCAGTGAGCCAATAACAACAAAATAATTTTAAACCTTTGCATTATCACAGGATGGAATTAAAAGCCAAGGGTGTCAGTGCTGTGGTGACCTTTCCCATTTAGATCTCTGTATTTTCAAGAGGTATCTACAACACCTATTAAAACCAAGCAACAAAACGTGGCTAAAGTACTCAACGCAGAGGATTAAACCAGGATGTTCAGAAACAATAAAGTATATGAAACGACATTGTTCTTTTTAAATATTATTATTTTCCTTTTTCTTTTTTGAGTCAAGGTCTCAGTCTGTCACCCAGGCTGGAGTACAGTGGCATGATCACAGCTCACCGCAGCCTTGGCCTTCTGGGTTCTGCCTCAGCCTCCCAAGTAGCTGGGACTACAGATGTGCACCACCATGCCCGGCCTGTTTAAAAAATTTTTTTGGTAGAAGCAATGGCTCGCTATGTTTCCTAGGCTGGTCTCGAACCCCTGGGCTCAAGTAACCTCCTACCTTGGCCTTCCAAAGTGCTAGAATTACAGGCATGAGCTACCACACCCAGGCTTTTAAAAAATATTCTTAATGATTTCTAGTGACAGCAAAAATTTATTTGCCATTATCTTTATCAAATTCTTTGGAAATTATTGTTATGTTTTATAATGTACTTAATATATTATAGTAGCACATATGCATATCATCTATAAGTAAATCTATTTGTATTTTGGAGTACATGCCAATGAATCTTGGACTTTTTAAGGTTGTGTGATCAATACAGTTTGGAGACCACTGCACTAGACAACCCACCAAGGTGTTTTGGTTGGCTGAACATGCTGGTTTAAACTCTCAGTTGTATTTTTATAACACCGCAAGAACTAAACCAGAATAAATGATGAATAAAAAGTGTCAGATGTAGTTGTGAACCCAAAAAGGAGAGAAAAGTATTTCCTTTTTGTGTGAATTGAAGTAAGCAAAAGAGACAGAGATGTCACGCTTCACATAGATCCCTGTTTCAGTTGGTGCAAACAATTTCAAGAATTGAAAAAAATGAACTGCTGAGGCTATTATTGGTGCAAAATTGTGTAGTGTTTCTAAGATTAGACATCTGCTTTTTTAGAAGCTTGAGTAGCTTTTGACTTGATTGACCAGCAGGTATGGAGTTCATGACCCAGGTCTACAGTGACCAGAGGAAAACTGATTTCTAAAAACCCCTACAAGAAGGTAACTAGAGAGGGAATATTCTAATTAGACCAGTGTCATCGTGGTTTGAATCACTGAAAGTTTTTATACCCTTTGGTTAAGTGACTGCCAGATTCTTCCTAAGGATATTTCCTAAGATCAAGAGTAGTGTCTCTCAGAAGTACTTGCCTATATTACATTTTAATTTACAAACCAAATCACAACATAAAACCAGCTAAACAAACAACAAAACAAACTCCAAAGAAGGAGACATAGACATGGACATTAGAGAGTTATTTCACTTTATGACTTTTTTTTT